TCGGGAGGGCCCGTCGCTGCTTTACTGCGGCGTCCTTTTTGTGAACAAAGCGTTTCGACTTCTCTCTTTCTCCTCGTACCCTCCTAGGTCCTGTTCTTTGCATTGTCTTGTGGCATTCTTTTCACTCATTCATTCACTCACCATTCATTCATTCATTCATTCATTCATTCTTCTTCTCCAGGAAGCTGGACTTTCTTTTCCCACGTGAAACCATTCTCTGTTTACCACTGAGAAATCACCGCAAAAAAATACAGACCAGGTTCACTTAAATTTCCAACGATGCGTTTCTACAGTACCGTGCTAGTCACGGTGCTGTCGACTTTACTTCCTGTTACACAGGCTGGTCCTGTACTCATAGCACCACGCCCCCCGCTGCTCCCCAACAACGGGGACTTCCACGGCTTCGACAACGCGATATTAGATCGAAAGGCCAAGGTTGCCATCTCTTCCATCTCAAACACCACCGATGATGACGGCAGCGTCTCGACAATACAGTCTAGCTGGATCAACGCCCAGCCTCCCGAGATCCGCCTCCTCCCCCGGTCCAGCTTCTCCTCCGATGCCAGCGCCGTCGTCCAGCCCAACACGCCGGCCAAGGACAAGTTCGTCCTCAAACGCTTCATCTTCGGCACCGACAACCGGTACCACTGGAACCTCCAGGTATTCCCCTACCGCGCCGTCGGCCGCATCTCCTGGAGCTCCGGCGTCATCTGCTCCGGTGCCCTCGTCGGCCCCCGCCACGTGCTCACGGCGAGGCACTGCCTCCCCAAGGCGGGGGACAAGCTCACCGGCCGCTTCGCGCCCAGCTTCGACGAGGGCGTCGAGCGCGCGGGCGGGGCCAACATCAAGGTGGCGCTGGCCAGCCAGGCCGTGAGCAATGACAGCGATGGGTGCGGGACCAAGTTTGACTGGGCGGTGCTGGTGCTGGACGACTCGCTGGGGGACAATGTAGGGTGGTTTGGGGTGAGGACTCCCCAGAAGGAATACTTCGACATGCCTGTCTTCTACCACATGGGATACCCGGGGGATAAGGACGGCGGGTCACAGCCGAATCTCATGACACATATTACCGTATTCAAGGACAGGACATTTGACTGTGATGGGACGGGGCCGTTCTATACGGATACAGATGCGGTTGGTGGGCAGTCGGGAGGACCGCACTGGCTGCCGGACGAAGAGGGAAACAGGTGGATTTGGGGCGCATTGTCCATTGGCGTCAGTTACGGGGCGGGCCAGGGATACTCTGGCTTCTCCTCTGGGGCTGAGATGATCGATGCCGTCAATCAGATGCGGGAGGAGTTTCCGTGACGGCGTTTCTCGAGATATACCGGCTGGGTTCCCTGTTATGGTTATGCATTTCTTATTGGTGATAAAGGAGCGAGCATATACAGAGTTATGAACGTTATGATATTCAAGTACGATAAAAATTGTGAAAGATTGACATGTAGGAGGGATCTCAGGAACAACATCTGTAGCATGCAAGCGTGTCACTCCCTGATTGTTTCTCAACTTGACCTAGTTTGCCACTATAGCCAATATGAACGGGCCATAGCAGCTACCGCGAAGAACGTGTAGAATTTTAAGAATAAAAACATAAATCTCTGGCATTCGTCAGGAACCAAAAGTTTGATATTCATCAACGAGGTTGATTATTAGTGGGCCAAGTGAGCCAGATCAGCATCCGGATCTTTTGGCCCGGAGCATTCTACGAACGATCGACGACGGAAAGGTCAGCAAGTAATCCAAAGCACGCTAATATGATACCTGCATGCATTTAACCTACATGGATGGTGTGCAATTCAAGAGGTCGGGACAAACTCAGACCTAGAAGACGGTGTTTGCCTGCCCGGTCGAAGCGTCATTGATCGCGTCATGATCCGTCATGATCGGGAACAAGACGGACTTCGCCTATCAGATCAACTGCTGGCCTCCAAATACACTTTGCAAAACCGCGACTTCGATGATAAAAATGGATGATGGTGTGATTTATGATTTCTGATGCCGGTAGATGGCATGTGGCAAAAGGACCGCATCTCGATGGATATTTTCCTGGATATATACTGATGGATATTTATCGACCTCCCTCGCTGGGCACAGCTTCTGGCGAGCCTTTATATTGTCCTCACCTATTTCATCCTAATTGATCTAAGACGTGAGTGAAATAATTCTTAGAAAATGGGCTCGCAAGACCACTCTTTCAAGGCCCAATTGGCCGAGCAACACCCCTCGCTTGAGAAAGACCGCAGCAGGTCGTCTGCGGACGTCTACTACAGCGCCAGCAATGGGCTCGCCGTGCCAAATCCATACGAGTCGCAGCGCGCCGGGGAGAATGGACCTCTTCTGCTTCAAGACTTCCATCTGGTTGACTTGATTTCTCATTTTGACCGCGAGCGAATTCCTGAACGTGTAGTCCACGCCAAAGGAAGCGGTGCCCATGGTGTGTTTGAGTGCACAGATCCCATTCCCGACCTGACACTGGCCGACCTCTTTTCTGAAAAGGGGAAGAAGTGTCCCGTCACGGTTCGATTTTCTACGGTGGGAGGAGAATCAGGATCCCATGATCTTGCTCGTGACCCGCGTGGGTTTTCTGTAAAGTTCAGAACCGAGGAGGGTAATTGGGACCTCGTCGCCAACAACACGCCCGTCTTCTTCCTCAGAGATCCAGCCAAGTTCCCCCATTTCATCCACACACAGAAGCGGGACCCCTCGACTCATCTTACACACGCTGATGATGCCACCTTGTTTTGGGACTACCTCTCACAGAACCCCGAGTCAATCCATCAGGTCATGATCCTGATGGGTGATCGAGGCATTCCGGATGGCTACCGTTTTATGCACGGATACTCTGGTCATTCTATGAAGCTCGTTAACAAAGACGGCGGCTGGGTGTACTGCCAGATCCATCTGAAATCAATGCAGGGCACAAAGTTCATTACACAGGAGGACTCTGCCAATTACTCACCCGACTACTCTCAGAAAGACCTATACGAGGCTATCGAGAGAGGCGACTACCCAAAATGGTCCGTCGAGATCCAGACCATGACCCCCAAAGAGGCCGAAGATCTCTGGGAGACCCAGAAGATCAACGTCCTGGACCTCACCCACATCTGGCCCCAGGGCCAATTCCCCCGCCGCAAGATCGGCGAGTTCACACTCAACGAGAACGCAGTCAACTACTTCGCCGAGGTCGAGCAGGTGGCCTTCAGCCCGTCCCACCTGGTCCCCGGCATCGAGTCGTCCGCAGACCCCGTGCTCCAGTCACGCCTGTTCTCCTACTCGGACACGCACCGCCACCGGCTCGGCGCCAACTACCAGCAGCTCCCCGTCAACGCGGCCAGGTCAATGTGCCCCTTTGGCAACTTCCAGCGCGACGGGCCCATGGCCTTCTACAACCAGGGCGCCCGGCCAAACTACCTCTCCTCCATCGACCCCATCAAGCTCCGGCCGCGCGCCGTGGACGCGGACAGGACGCACGGGCACTTCGCGGGCGAGGTGATGACCTTCCTGACCGAGATCCGGCCCGAGGACTTCAATGCCCCGCGGGCGCTGTGGAGGAACGTGTTTGACCAGCCTGCCCGGGACCGGTTCATCAGCAACACGTCCGGGAAGCTGTCGCTCTGCAAGAAGGAGGAGATCATCAAGCGGCAGATCGCCATCTTCCGCGAGGTGGACCCGGAGATTGCGGAGCGGTTGGAGAAGGAGCTCGGGATCAAGGGGTACGACGGCATTGCTGACCTCCAGTTCAACGGCACGCACAATGGGATGCCACGAGGATCCGGGGCGAAGCAGGTGAATGGCGGGGGCAGCTTGAACAAGACCTCGTTTGGCTCGAGGACCAACGGTGCACCGCAGAAGGGGACGCATTCCAGGCTGGCGGCCTATGGGCGTGGACATGATGATGCTACAACGGCGGACAGGCAGCAGACCAAGTATGGCGTCTAGTGTCTAATCATTTGTATATCAAATTGTGTGGCAGAATATTGACAATCGATTGGCATGAGCTGGTATTATCAAAGGTGAATTTCAATGTCCTCTCACTTCTAGTCTCAGCACCCGATATCAATTATCCATTTCGCTAACCAAGTCCATAGCAAAGCCATCGTCATTGTCTGCTAAAGAGGCCTTGGCGCGGCATACGGAGGTCTGGCCAGCTTCAAGAAATCGTGTGCAAATGTATCCAAACTCAAAGAGTTCTCGAGCCAATATAATTCATCATGTGTTCATCTTCTGGCATTGATTCTCCTATAGCCTGACAACCAATTTCTAATTTTCGGCCTGGGAACCAAGTTTCCTACACTGGACGAGAAAATGGGTTTGTTTAGGTGAATAAGTAGCTTGTTACTTTGGGAGCAGAGCACCAAGCCTCCATAGAATTTCTGATGACCGTTGAATTAATTCACGTTGTCCGAACCGTAGCAAGTGGGTGACATTGAAATTGAGACACTTAAAACATTAAGCTACTTATTTTCGAGTCTACAACCGATATTGCCAGACTATTAAATGCTAATAATGCATACTTAAGAGAGAGTGCGGCATATATTATCACTTTATTTCGTTTTATGCTCCTGAATTTCTCTATTCATCGTAGAAGGTAGTCTGTTTATAACCTCTCATCTATTGGATGTCTTATTTCTACTGTCATCCACTTGCGTAGTAGCAGTCAGATCGAGGACAGGGATGACATTCCTTCGAGTGGACTAAACTAGTGGGATAAAACAGCCCAAACAGCCATTGCCGTTGCCTAAAGTAGGCGTTATCTACGGAGCAGTGGAGAGGAAACTAGAGCTGGCTGGACGCCTTACAGGCGCCTTGGAGACAGAGCCACCCGAGTAGGTATTATAGCACTGCCACTATTCATCTATGGAAGATATCTCGACTGGCAAAGATGGGCCAACCTGGAAGGGTTCTCCCGTCATGATCACAGCTCTATTATCGATGATTGAGTGACTGGCTATCTGTTCTGAGAACCAGCCTCGTTGGCTTGCAAAACTCCAATCGCCATGCAGCGCTGGCATGATGTATCCTGCAGACACCCGGATGTCAAAGTGTCAGCCGATCAAACGCCTCGCTGTCATGCATGCGGCAAAGAGCCACAGATAGCTGAGCTAGAGAGAAGCAGAAGCTCAGGCCGCTCCTCCCTGTCTATTCCTCTCGATAAACGATTAGGAGACTTGGATCTTTGGTGGCCGCGCTCGGTGCCGTACTTTCAATCAAGCCTTAAGCCAGACCCAGAGTCGGAGGACACTCGGCCGGTTTTCGGTTCACAAGGTGATGCAGACGAACAACCGGCAGAAGACACAATATACAAATCAACTCTCGGATCCGACGAGTTCCGCCTGGTTTGGCTCGACTCCGCCGACACCCTCGACAGCCCTTTGCATCTCAACCTCTGCGACTACAAACTGGACGACTGCCCCGAGTATGAAACCGTTTCGTACACTTGGGCAGGGGAAGGTGGCGACAGCACGCCTTGCAAGCCTGTTTATTTTGGTCCGTTCTGGGACATCATGCTACAGACCAAGAACTGCTGGGAGATGCTCCGGTTCGTACGGCCGTGGTATGGCAACCGCATTGTGTGGGTTGATGCCATCTGTATCAACCAGGCCGATATCCAGGAGGGCAACATCCAGGTGGCAAACATGAGCCGTATCTATTCTTCCGGCAACCGAGTCATTCTCTACCTGGGACCAGACATTGCTATGCCGCTATATGGCAAGCACCCACGACGTCGCAGGCTCCACGAGATCGCGGACGGCACCATTGCACCGAATCTCCCTGCCCCCCAGCCAGTTGATAGCTCAGGGCGCCGATCGTATGTCCAGTCTCCCGGAGATTTAAAAGCGCTTTTGGGACGACGGTATTTCTCCCGCATATGGGTCATCCAGGAGCTACTCTTGTCACAGCGAGCCGTCATGCGCGTCGGAGACGTTGACTTCTGGACTGATCCTACCACGTCTGTCTACTTCTCCATCAACTTGCCGGAGTGGAGTTGGGAGCAAACAGATGCAGCGTGGATGCAGTATATTTCACAAGGCGCTGCGAGCATAAGCACTCTGAGGGACTTGCTCCTGCTGACCTCTCACTGCCGCGCCACGGATCCTCGCGATCGCCTCTTTGGGCTCCTGAGTATAATGCCTGATATGTCAAATCCAAGTGCAGAAGGCGATGCCTCACAAGTGGAGGGTAGTGGGCTGCACGCGGACTACTCACTCTCGTCCCAGCACGTCTATATAGGCCTATTTGCTTACTGTCTCCTGAATCTGGGACACTTCAATATTCTCTACCATGCGTCTGGTAACCTGTCAAGGTGGAAAGCATACTATCCCACCTGGGCTCCAGACTGGACATCGCGAGCAACCCGGCGGGCCCTCTTTGACGGACCTGAACTGACCAGCGAGCAGGTAGAGGCGGAGATTCGTGACAACATCCAGGAAGGCGTCCGTGATAGTAGAGGTGCCGAATCGGATTGGTACATATCACCCACGAACAGTGATTCATTTTCTATAATTGAATGCTGGGGGCCGGCCTCAACTCATGCCGCGACGCTGAGGCCGTGGTACAAGGACGCGCACATAGACGCCTCTACGGGGGCACTGTCTATGAATCTGACACATTACATGTCGGTCCCTGGGAAGCTGAGGCGAGTTGGCCGCATTGGCGTATATCAGATTTTCGCAATGAAAAAGTCTCTGGCTACGTTATTCATCCTCTCGGAACACCGGATTGATAAGATGGTTATGGGAGACGGCAGGGACGAGCTGTTCATACTGAGTCAGGCTGGTAACTACACACTACCGACATATCTTCTTTTGAGGAGAAGCCCCAATTCAGGAGACAGGGAATCGTACAATTTCCTTTCCGCATGCCCGTTTGTCCAGATTCAGGCCGACGTTGGCATGGGCACAGTGGGCTTTATGCATGTAACGCTGAAGGACCTGCAGTACAGCGTATACGACATCCTCCAAGACCTGCAAGAGAGGCTAGACTATCCGTTGTATGTTCAAAAAGGCCTTGAACTCACCAGCCTTGAGATGAAGGGGCTGTTCGTCGGAATAGAGACGAATCGTCAGATCCTGCCTCTGATCCGGGTGTTGCATTCAGAAAGGGTGAACCCGCCTGGGGACCCTGACGCTTTCGTTGACGCATATCTCGCATGTCTGTCTCCAGAATACAAAGGATTCGCCAGGGGAAGCTTTCTGCAAATCACCTTTTCAACAAATCAGGGGAGTGTGGCCGAAACCTACTTTAAGGAGCGTGGAAAGCTCAATAGGCCTGAGGCACGTTTTCGATATCGCGTTCGCGATTCTGGAGATGAATGGAGGTCGACCATTGTGTCACAGTCCAAGTATAAGCAAATTACCGACTCCTCGCAGCCCCAGCAATGGATTGATATTTGCTTCAAAAAACACGAGGTTCGCCAAGCTTTGACGTTATATTCAAATGTGGATAGAATTCTGGACACCATGGATATGATTTCAGCTTCGACTGGGCGCACAGGTGAAGGCTTGTGGTTAATGGTGACTGGTGACCCTGGAGATGAGTGTAAGTTCATTTGTCACTCGCAGGACAAAACATATCTCGATTTAGACACAAAGCTATGTGACTACTTTGGGATGGATGGAAGTACATTCATGGTTAGCATCGAGTAGAGCCTTGCCCCATGTGAAGATGGAATATGGCGGAGTTGTTTAATCATGGCCACGAGGAGGTTACGCTTAGATATCCTTCTCCACGTTTACATACCATTCAGAAAGTGTTCCCCCCTGTCGCTGCACTTACTACCGCTAGAAGGCTCATGGTCAATCTCGGAAGCACCCACAATCTAGGCCCCTGAGCTAGAGAACATGAGACAAGTATCAGAGGAGTAGACACAAGAGCAAAGAATCCATCCAGATGTGTTGAAGCCGAAGCAGAGAGGGCAGGACGCAAGAAACTACCACCTCGGCCTAAATTCAAGCCGTTTCATCTGCAGCTTTACTTGCTTTAGTTCTGATGATGAAAAAAAACCAGCATAGTTAAGAAAATCGCGGTTGGACCAGACTTTCCCATCGGAGCTGATCTGCTGGAAGAGGCAACAGTTGAAGGGGACGGAGAATTTGTTCCACATACCGAATACCCCTTACACCGGCGGCCGCCATTTTCTGAAATCCGCTTTGGTTGGGATGGGACGTGAGAGTCGCATGATTTGGTGTTGCCTCAGCACAGTGTACGCGTTCGTCCTTCATAGCCTAGCCGGATAGAAAGGGCCAAAGGGTTCAGGTATCTTCAAAGCCATCACCGAGCCGTGCTGCTTCCTCGATACTATCCCGAGGTAGGACCTGGAGTTGCCCATTGACTTTCTGATTTCCCAGTTCTTCGTCTCCAGCGGGTTTGCGCCAATAGCCTTGATCTCTGACTCGGATACTCGGCTTGGGAATAATACAGCCCGTATGCCATGCCATACGAGCCTTGCATTGCATGCGAGTTGACCTTCCTAAATGACGGTGCAAACGCGATGTTGCTGACTGTGCTTCGGCTTCCAGATTGATATCTTGATCGGTCTCTGACTGCGGAGGCCACCCGGGCCGCACTGGAGCAGGACGCGTGTGTTTAGAGCATCTGTAATCACTTATTAATCCTGCATTCCGGGAATCAAGGATGTGGCGGAAAGCCTTTCAGTCGGTCTGCGGAGCCACTCGAGCAGGTCAATCCCTGTCTGACATGGCCTCAAACTTAAGGTGAGGGACGGAGGCAATAAGAGCCCGCTATGGTTAATAAAACGCTTATATGTTAAAATCACTCTCGTCCTTGCATCCATAAGAGGAAGTTGTAAGGGGAAACAGGGTTTTGATTGGTCGGGTTGCGCCATCGCCCTGCATAGACGATCCTTTCGCTTTTCTCCGACCTGGGGCAGTCGTGTCAGATGGCACTTTGACAGCAGCCCTCCGCAGCCTGAGTGCCGGTGGTGGCGATTTCTCATCGGCGCGCGCGGACATGAAACGAAGGCGTAGCTCTGGTAGCAATAGAGTGAGATTCAGGGCCAAGGGCCAGGACCAGGATGGCTCCGGTCCCAAATGAAAGTGCGTATAAAGCAATGGGATCAGCCTGGTTAGAAGATCCTCCCATTCTGTCAATTGGTCGATTACACATATTCGCATTTGTGTCATACTAGTTGCAACCATGCGTCTCGATCTGGCACTCTCCCTTGTCGGGGCTGCGGCCACCGTCAATGCCTTCGACCGTGAAAAGTTTCGCCTCAAGTCATCGACGCAGTACACCAAGTCATCCGAGGCCGCTGCCATCTCCCTTAAGCTTGCCAAGCGAGGAGGTGACTATATCGACGTTGCTACTGAACTAGTCAAAACCGTAGCACCGGACGCCGAGTTCCGAGTCATCGATGACCACTACGTCGGTACCAACGGCATTGGGCATGTCAACTTCCGTCAGACTGCTCATGGGGTTGATATTGATAATGCCATCTTCAACGTCAATGTAAGTGAATAAAAGCTACTCAAGTGAGGAGTAGCAAATATCGAGACATACCGAGACTGACGTGGATATATTGCTCTGCACCCAGATTGATAAGAACGGAAACGTATTCTCTTACGGCAACTCCTTCTTCAAGGGCGATCTGCCGGCCGAAGCTCCTGCTTCTGCTTGTTCCTTGCCAATTGATTCCATCAAGGCTTTGAACATCGCCTCTGAGCTTCTTGGTCTGTCCATCGAGACAAACGACGCCGCCCTTGAAGAGAGCTCCGATATCTACGTGATCCAAGGCGTATCGGGGGCCAGTCAAAACCCCGAGAGCAAACTGGTCTACTTGGTCAAGCCGGACGGAAATCTCTCACTATCGTGGAAGGTCGACACGGTGACTCAGGAGACCTCCTACTCCTCATATGTCGACGTCAATGCGGCCGAGGTCGTCGGTGTATCTGACCATGTGTCTGCGGCTACATATGAAGTCTAGTAAGTAGATGCCTCGTGTGATGTTCGTGTACATGCCAAGAAACCTGACTGACCACCTTGGCAGTCCAATCGGTCTCAACGACCCCTGGGAGGGCGAGCGCAGCATCGTCGAGAACCCTGAGGAGAGCACAGCCTCCCCGAATGGTTGGCTCGGCCGCAACAACGGTTACGATGCTACCTTTGGCAACAATGTCAGAGCTGGTGCTTTACCCGTTGCCGAGGTTCTCTACACCAAACCCAACGCCAACGGGACCTACGTGTTCGACTACATCCCTGACGGCGGTGCCCCCGTGGACTTCCGCGACGCTGCTGTGACGCAGGCATTCTACACCACCAACATGCTGCACGACCTGTACTATCTCTTCGGCTTCACTCCTGCTGCCGGCAACTTCCAGCTGAGCAATGGCGAGGAGGGCGGCAAGGCAAATGACCCCGTCGACGTCCTCATCCAGCACTATGCCGGCAAGAACAACGGCTTGTTCTCGCAGACGGTCGACGGAAGATCGCCCACGCTCACCATGTATGTCTTTGACAAGACAGATCCTTATAGAGACGGCGCTTTTGATCAGGGATTCCTTATCCACGAGTACACTCACGGACGTATGTTCTTCTTCCCTCCTTCCTCCGCCTTTATTCCAAGTACGACTGGTATCATGTGCTAACTGTCCTGAACTGCTAGTCTCTGGACGCTTGACTGGCGGAGCAGCCACCTCCGCATGCCTCGAAGACTGGGAAGCCGACGGCATGGCGGAAGGCTGGAGCGACCTCTTCGCCTCCGCCCTGGCCATCAAACCAGGAGACACGAGCGCCACGGCCGACTACGGCTTCGCCGCCTGGCCTCTCAACGTGACCAGCCCGCGCACCGCCAGGCTCGTCATGTACTCGACCAACCGGGATGTCAACAACTGGACCTACTCCAACGCCAACGGCCTCCAGAAGGTTCACCAGGTCGGCACTGTCTGGGCGACCATGCTCTACGACATCCTCTGGAGCCTGATCGACAAGCATGGAAAGAATGACAACCCCCGGCCGGACTTTGTCGACGGGAAGCCCACCGACGGCAAGTTCCTGTGGCTGAAGATTCTCACGGATTCCTTTTCCATGTAAGTTTTTCCTTTCTTCGTCAACGAACACAGTGCCTCTCTGTTTTTTTCCGCCGGTGAGACATCATGGAGCCAGAGTCAACTAACCACCGTTTTCCATTACCTTTAGCCAACCCTGCAACCCAACATTCATCCAGGCTCGCGATGCCATCTTGGATGCCGACCTGGCGCTGACCGGAGGCGAGAACAAGTGTGAGATCTGGAAGGGATTTTCCGGCCGCGGACTGGGCGCGAACGCCGTGTATGACGCATCGAACAGGGTGGACAACTTCGACCTGCCTGAGGGTGTGTGCTAGGCATGGGCAAGGCAGACTGATGGTTATTGTGCTGTCTGTTGAGTGAGATGTAATCAATCAGGCAAAAGGCACGTTAGATATGACTGTAAATAGGAAAATCTGAACATAATGAGGCATTCCATGATGAGATGCATATAATTCGGGGGATTCCGACTTCCCGGGCCAATTCAATTCTCACTGCCATGCCAGAGTGGGTAGAATGATTGACAGGATGATAAGAGTCAGACGAGAAGATGCGACAAAACGACCGGTGATGAAAAGGGATGTCGTTGGACGATGAGTCGCGTTGAGTCATCTTGCATCTCCCTCAGGCAGCAGCCACAAAATATAAGCATGCATGTCGCACATGTGGCGGGACGGAGCGACATGATGCAGCATCTCAGTGGGCAGCGCGTAGGGCTTAATTGCCAGAGGGATGTGGCCGTGCACGTCAGGCATTCTTATGATCCAATGGTATAGCCCGATCGTAAGCAAAGTGCCGATGGGTGGATGCATGAGGCGAGTGACTAAGACGGTGAGTAACTTGGCAGGAAACGGCAACATGCTGAGTAGCGTCTCTGCCGGTGCGCGGGAGCATCTGTGAGTGGCCAGATCGTACCGGGATAAGGGCAAGTGCGTGGATTGGCGAATGGCATCCTCCTTCCACACCATCGACCAACATTCGAGATCCAGGCCAATCTCTCTCTCTCCATCACGGCAATGCCACAAGAGAACATGCCCATCACACGGAAGAGGCGCATCGTCCAGGCCGGTCCATGTGGGCCTCATGAACCAGATCCTACAACTACATCTATCCTGCTCCCCCAGGACCAACTTGTTACTACCTAGCTCGGCATTCACACTTACAGCCCTCTCCTGGCACCAACACGCGCAAACAGGCCATTGAGCCTTGGTTAAACACATCATCATGATGTCTCCCGCTCGAGTCTGCGCAGCCCTGCAGGCATCATCTTCGGCTGTCGCGATATCCTCCATCTTCATCTCTTTCCTCCTCAACTATGAACCAGCTGAGGACAAGGATCCGAAATCGAAAAAGCCAACCGCCCAGCCCATCTCAAATCCCCGCCGCAAGTCAACGGTGCGCCTCGTTGCCATACTTGCCACTTCTCTGTGCTATCTTTTCGATCTCGCCCATTACCTCTCCCAGAGTAATCATGTCAAGCCAAACTCGGATGAGATAGTCACGCCGGCTCTTCTAGCCTTGGCTTGGTTCTTGGCATGTTTTGGGAAACATCACTTCATCGGAAGGCTACTGATGCTCTCACTTGCATCCTTCCTCCTTGACCTCCCAGTCATAGTACTCAA